AACAAAACGGCTGTAAGATTGCGGACTCCTATCTAAGCTCTCATTGCCTCTTATCAAAAACACAGCCGTCACCCGAACTTCACTTTGAACTTGGAAGAAAACACAAAACGAGACAAAAAACATCATTATTGTCAATGACAGTAGTTTCCGGTTATATTACTCGAATTATAATTGTAAACCGACAATGTTTATTGTTGGACTGACAGGCGGCATAGCCACGGGAAAAAGTACAGTATGTCAAGTATTCAGAGAATACGGAATTCCAATCGTGGACGCTGATGTAGTAGCCCGAAAAGGTTAGAATCGCTGTTTATTTTAAATTTATCAGAAAAAAGGCATACACAAATTAATGTAAAATGTTAAGACAACGATCAAAATAATCTGGTAAATATTCACACGTTCAAAACATTCAGTTGTTGATACTTCATTGAATTTTAAATGGACAAGAATAATTGACATGTGCAGAATAAAAAAAGAATTATCTAAATATTTACAGTTGTTGAGCCTGGAAAACCCGCATTGCACAAAATACACAATGAATTTGGAGCTGAAGTGATCAATAATGATGGAACGCTCAACAGAGTTAAATTGGGGGAATTGATATTCGACGACGTTGAAAAAAGAAGAAAATTAAATGCTCTCACACATCCATACATATATAAAGAAATATGCTGGCAGGCATTTAAATATTTTCTTCAAGGACATCCGTTTATCGTTATGGATCTTCCACTGCTATTTGAAAGTGGCAAAATGCTCAATTTTTTGCACAAAATCATCGTTGTTACGTGGTAAATATAGCTGATAAGCCAGTATTGGAAAACGCCAAGTCATTGTAAATTTACCGTGATGTATGATGTGTTGCATTCTTCTTTCAGCGAAGAAGATCTCCAACTCCAGCGCCTAATGGAGCGTTCTGGATTCACTGAAAGTAAAGCAAAATTACGAATTGAGGCGCAAATGCCTCAAGATAAAAAAGTCGAAATGTCAAATTTTGTGATAGAAAATTCGAGCAGTTTACAGGATATGAGAGATCAAACGATGAAGATAATATATTTACTAAAAAGTTCTAAACATCATTGGAGATTAAGACTTATTCTTGGTTTCTGCTGTACTATTCTTTTAGGAGGTGCCTTCTGGCTTAGAAATGGAAGCACCAAAGCCCATTTAAATGCTCCATAAAACTATTACATACATCTACTTACCTTGGATTCATTAAGATTGTCCGATTATTAGATGATCACTGAATCTTATCACGATTGTCTCCTAATGTATTTATAAAGACCGAACGATCGAATTTTTCATCAATGGAAAATCTCAAAATTGAGTGAATTCTGATTGCAAATTAGTCAGCTATGACGAGTGAATCCATGAGGAATAAGCATAACAGGCGTTTGATAATAAATATCGATAGTATGCAAATTCAACCTGTTTATCATTTTTAGAATAGGATATTTCCATCTAGAAAATTAAATGCATTTAACACACTCTTCATTCTCCTTTAATTCGTGAAGCGATCGATCAATTTTATTTTTTTCCAAGGGCAAATTTGTACGGTGATAATAAAATGAATTCTATAAAGGACAAATTGTTAATTTATCATTAATTGTGAATCAATGTAGGGGCGCACAGAGAATTAAATAAATAAGTTGGTGAAAATATTCAGTTAAATTTCTATATATTTTCTAGGCCAGAAATTTTTTTTCCACACATGATCAATTATAAGGAACGACCGAAATCATCAATATCCCACGGATGTTAAATAACATAAAAATCAATAGACTAAAATATCGAAGGTCCGTCAAATCTCGAGTACTTAAACTAATAAGTACTTCATTGAAAATACTCCTATTATAGAAGAATAGTTGGATGATCGTTTTATTTATCTTTAATCTATTAAGTATAAATAGATCGAATTATTCCAAGAATTTTACATATAAAGAAATAATAAATGTGATTGAATTAAATAAACTATTTACATTGTAAAACGTATAATAACAGCTACTTAGATGTTATATTCACTTCACCTTTCCTTTTCTCTGATGGCTTCAAGTCAATTAGTGAGATTTACGTGAATATTCAATATTCCACTCTTTTTTGTCTTTAACAACTTTGTACTTATATATTATGTCAATCTACAGATGCTATTCATGTTTATAAAAACATTGACTTTCTACAAATTGTCTGGTAAACCATAAGGGAATTGAAATGGAGAGCACTTCAATCGAATTAGTATGTATTGTCAGGAGCATTATTAACACGGTATCTACTTTTCTATTTGCATAGGGAATTATATAGAAGAAAACACTGTACATGTCCATTCTTTGTTCTCTCCAGATCGCGTGTTTTTGTTAATACCAATATTTGTTACTACTAGGAACAAATAAAAAAGAAAACAAT